CCAGAACATTGAATGTATTTAAGAGGCGGCTAGAAATAGCACTTGGGGCAAATGGGATCAAAGGTTATGGGGAGAAAGCAGGATTAGGCTATTGAGTTGGATGATCAGCCATGATTGTGAAGAATGACGGAGCAGGCTCGAAGGGCTGAATGGCCTCCTCCTGCTCCTATCTTCTATGTTTCTATGATTTCTGCTGAAGTCAAATTTCATGTTTACTATTGTTCACCACTAACAGCCTCCATTAACAGCTATTCACTCTCCCTGTCAAATTGTTATCCACTTATTTGTCTGTCCAACTGTCTTCTCTCTCTTTGGGCTCTATCCCCACCTATCATTCACTCCCTAACCCCTCACCCCACCTTATCGTATGCATATAAAAAGACATTTTCCTAGCTACCATCAGTTCTGAGAAAGGGTCACCGGACCTGAAACTTTAACTCTGATTTCTCTTTACAGATGCTGCCTGACCTGCTGAGTTTTTCCAGCAACTTCTGTTTTTGTTTCACATTTACTATGGTATATTCAAACCCATATCCCCAGAATATTAACTTGGGTCTTTGGAGTACCAGACCATTCACATAACTTCTACACCACTTCCTCCCTCTAAATTCATTGGTGTTTAGAAAAATGATCTTATTGAAACATATAAGATACTCCAGGGGTTTGACAGGGTAGAGAGAATATTGCATCCTATAATGAGGTTTAGAAATAATCAAGTTTCAAAATAAGAAGTCAACCATTTAAGATGCATATGAGGAAGAATTACATCTCTAAGAAGCTTGTTAATCTTTGGAATTCTCTTTGCCAGAGGACAGTGGAGGCTGGCTCTTTGTATATATTCAAGGCTTCATCAGGCATATGTTGCTGGACAAGCAGAGTCAGAGGTTATGGGGGCAGACAGGAAAGTGGAGCTCAGGCACTACTGGTTCAACCAGATTAGGCTTGAGGGACTGAAGGGTCTAATCACACTCTTAATTCTTATGAGCCTTTTGGCTTAATCCAATTTTCCAGCCCTTGATCTGAATCCTTATAGGTATCACATTTGAAGTGTATATCTAAACTATAGTTAAATATTTTTGCCTCAACCCTTTCAGTTATTAAGGTCTAGCTCCTCACCTGCCTCTGGGCAAAAACATTTCCCCTCAAATAACATCAAAACTTCCTACCTCTTATCCAAAATCTATACCATCTGGTTATGGATCAGAAGAAATAAGATCTTACTATTCACTGTATTCAGACCCCTCTGGATGTTATATTTAATTAGGTCACTCCTTAGTCTCATCTGTTTTAAATAAAAACAAAACGTACCTTATCCAATAACTCAAATTCTCCCATCCATGCTATGTCCCCATAAATCTTCTCCATACCCATTTCCATCAATCATTAAGCCCTTTGGCTCGAGCAGGTGCTGGTCACAGAAACAGGCCCAGATCAGAATTGACCCTATAACCCACAAAATGCAACAATAATTTTATACATGCACCAGAGAATCCCTGAAATTACATATTGTGAACTCAAAAGTGGTCCATTCTCAGTGGGGCCTTAAGCCATTAAAATGATTGAATGTCCCCTCTCTAAAATGCATTACATGTAAATAAAACTTTAGACTGTTATTCATAATTTACTTCAGAAAGCATGGAACATAAGGACCAGAGGCTGCTGGCATTACAAACTGTTGTCTGCAAACAATGGAATGAAAGCATTCATTATTTTTGATGTATTTTTCTTCAGAACAACAAATGCACAGACTGTGGCCACACTTGAATAAGATGCATAACTGCCAGTAGATTTTTAGAAGATTTTGCAAAATTATTATAATATTTTATGTTTAATTTGTGAATCCTTTTACAATAAATGTAACAATGCAATGAAAGTTACTCCCGCTATTATTCTTCAACTAATTTTAATGGAAGCATGCAACAAATACTGACCAAAATTTTAAGCTTCTCATCTTTGTAAAAGCCTGATGACACCCGAGTCAGTTAGAAACCTTAGTTCTATTTATCTTGTAAGTTTATAAGAGCATTAACTGATGTTGCTACCCAAGATGGGATCTGGCAGGTGAAGAACTTTATGTAAAACAAGAATGTCCCAGATGCATGAGTAGGAGTTTCTAATGGGCAGCATGAGAGTATCTGATGGAGGAAGGTTGGCGAGCTAATTAGATAAGTCTTAAACATTCAACAGTGGAAACTTAGAAAGTTGTTACAGAGTCATGGAAAAACCAATAGAGAGATCCTAAATGTTTAAGTCTCATCTACTTATGGTTTACCTAGCTGAATGAGATAGAATGTGAAGGGTAGAGTTATATGTTACAATATACTGAAGTAACAATGCTAGTACCATCTCTGTTTGTGTTTTGAGAAGGTGTTGTGATGTTGGAGAGAGAGGGAAAAATATCATCTAAAATTTACTGAACTATTGTGAAACATTATGGATTCTACCTGGTTTAAGCTGGTCATTATCAATAAAAAATAGGGAGATCCATGTATTCCATGAAGCTCATATTACATCTAAACAACATCTCAAATTGCATCTAGCATTCTACCTTGTGCATTTTGACCAACACACATATAAAATGTGGAATTTTGTAAATTTCCTGTATTGTAGGATTAAATTTCTCAACAAATTATATTTTTAATTTGGATGAGCTCAGAAACGTTTAACACAAAAAAAGTAAATATTCACTCCAGGAGACCAGTGGACAATTTTATGCTTTTCCCAATTTATACTGAACTTTTACTCACACTGTTAACTTGATCTACATAATTCTCTGCCCAAGTCAGCAGTGGTCAGGATAAAGGTGAGGGCAGTAATCCTCAGATTATTTCATTAACTCTTCCTATTCTCTCCAGGGGAGCTTCTGACATCTGTTGGATATCATCTTGCAACACTAACCATCGCCCCTCAATCAGATTACATGATACGGTTGTTGCCTTTTTCAAGACACCTCTTCTGTAGCGTAGGAGTACTTGATTTCAGCAGACTACTCGAAAGATCAAGACCATTCTCCCCAATTTTTGATGAGCAGCGACTGGTAATTCCGTTATTTCCATTCACACCTCCTCCAGCCACAACTTTTGTCTCTTTTGCTGTCCAGCTGTCATAGACCTTTCTATTTATTCTTTGCTGCCTTTTCCCCACCTTTACAAAACACCACACGTCTGTAACAGAACTGAGAAAGGGTCATCAAACCTGAAATTTAACTCAGTTTCTCTCTCCGCCTGTGTTACCTGACCTATTGGGTATTTCCAATACAACACTCTTTTAGATATGGACAGGTATGCCTGAAAATAAGGTCAAGAACTTAATCGTAGTCACCATGAGAAAAACTAAATAGAACAGCATTCAATTCTCGTGTTCTTGTTAAAGGAAAGATGTTGTGAAGCTTGAAAGGGTTCAGAAAAGATATACAAGGATGTTGCCAGGGTTGGAGGTTTTGAGCTGCAGGGAGAGGCTGAATAGACTGGGGCTATTTTCCCTTGAGCGTTGGAAGCTGAGGAATGATCTTTTAGAGGTTTATAAAATCATGAATGGCATGGATAAGGTGAATAGACAAAGTCTTTTCCCCAGGGTGGGGGAGTCCAAATCTAGAGGGCATAGATTTAAGATGAGAGGGGAAAGATTTATTAATGACCTAAGGGGCAACTTTTTCATGCAGATGGTTGTACATGTATGGAACAGCCAGACGAAGCAGTGGAGGCTGGTACAATTACAACATTTAAAAGGCATCTGGATGGGTATATGAATAGGAAGGGCTTAGAGGGATATGGGCTAAATGCTGGCAAATGCGACTAGATTAATTTAGGATATCTGGTCAGCATCGACCAGTTGGACCGAAGGGTCTGTTTCCATGCTGTACATCTCTATGACTCTATAACTGTTTGATATCACCCACATCTGTTTTTTTTAAACTCTCCTCATTTTCCTTTATGTCCAAGCACCAGCTTAGCAGCATCTTAAAACATGTACCTCATTTATTGGAGGGTGGGTGCTGATGGGGGAGGTGGGTGAAGTAGCAAAAGTAGTGATTTGGAGTCAAATACCACTTTTGACAATTCTGGGGCAGGGAGGCAGATAAATAATGTTTGTCTTCAATAGGGGTAGGTGGAACCTTAAAGTTTAAATTCCATACGGCCACCCAGGAACATCAGTGAGATAAAAGTTAATGGTAGACATTTATCTTTCCTTTCTGATTGAAATTATAACAAAAAAAGGCTTTTCATACCTTACTTTCATGAGATAAGATGTAGGTAAATTATATTAATAAGGTAACAGATAACATAGTGAGTGTCAACGTTTTCTTCTTCCCTCGCCAAAATAATGCTTGGGATGTCAGCTGCATATTTATTATAGCTTTAAGATATGTGTGTGTGTGGGGCTAATTAAAAATGTGAAAGTGTTCAGCCGAGTCCTGCTTCCCTGTATGTCTCCCTGCCAACACTTGCCAGTTTTTCTGTCACTGATCCAACTATTTAGACTTCAGAGGGACTCCTGCCAAGCCACGCTGCAAGGCATTGTGGGAGCTGAGAGCCCTGAAGGTGCAGTTGATTCTTTTATGTGTAAAACATATTTTCCAAATGAAAAATTCATACAGTTATCAGGGGTTTTATTCTCTTCAAAGGCTAAGGCGTCACTGACCTGAATTCACAGCCTCGTTGGCACAGATGTAGATTTAAGCAGGGGAGAAAGAACACCCTCAGATCGGCAGGTCTGCAGTCGTCGGAACGCTGCAGAAGATGAAAATGTTGCTCAACCCTTTCACGTTTAATGGTATCATTCTGAAAAGCACATGCTGTAACATAATAGGTAGGATCAGTGACTTGGAGAGGAGATGTAATCTAACGGGCAAGATCAATATTCTGGGGGAGATTTATTTAATGAGTGAAAGCACACACTTGGGGAGAGATGTTGTGGAAGAGTTTATGTCTGACTCTAATATGCCAATGAGACACATTACAGGAAGTGATGTATTGCCACATGATCTTACCCTCTCTTGCAGCTTCTCCACCAAGAGGAAGTCACAGTAAGTAATTTCTTAATTATACTTCCTTACCTAAGCAGACTCTGTAAACATTCTTTAGCAGCACAACAAGACCAGGAATATTACTTGGCAACTCAGCTAACTCTACTGCCACAATATCCACGAGTCTTAATTGTTTTGAACAAACCACCATTCATCCTCGAAAAATAAAATCCAATAATGGCACCTTCCTTTTTAAAATTATTTTTAACATCAAATATATGTTCGACCCAGACTTGCCAGCTCCGGGTGAACATGCCCCTTTTATCATTTGATGTCCAACAGCTCTGACCCCACATTACCTGACATGTCCATCCTCATAAAACACTGCCTTCCTATGTCAAGAGCAAAATCAACGCAACTTTTATGATATAATTAGTGGCTCTTCACTGTCATTCAAGAACCTTAATTCCCATGGTTTGTGTTTCTACAAAGAAAAAACCAAGGTGTACAAATAATAGTTACTAAGAATTTATTGCCGCTCCAATGGTTTTTCTAACTGGGATTTTTGTAGCAGTCTCCTGGAAATTAATTATACATACCTGGACAATCCAAGATAATCCAAGTGGTTTGGGGTGATCCTAATCAACTAACCAATTCATCCCTAAATACATCTTGCTTTCACGCACTGCCTGAGTTTCCAGATTGCTATCTGATTAGTCTCAGTTAGCACCAACAGTCGAGTCTTCCAGGCTAGATGGCAATGGTCATTTTCCAAGTTGAAAACATGGTGCAATATATTCGACCTTTTGGGACTTTGATTGCAGCCACCGTTAAAGAAAAAGGCACAGACTTCCCTCTGGGACTGAGGGAGGCAGTGGCTAATGGTAATGTTACCGGGACTAGAAATTCAGAGGCTAAACTACCAGAGGTTTCAAATGGGTTTTAAGTTAAACTAATTAAGTGGAATATGAAGCTCCTCGCAGTAATGATGACCATAGAGCAAACATCAATTGTTGCAAATACCCAGTGAGCCCATATTAGTTCACTAGCAGCCTTTAGGGAAAGAAATCTGCCTTAACTGGTCTGTTACAGGTGACTCCAGAGTCACAGAAATGTGGCTGACTCTTAACTGTGCTCTGAAACTGACAAGCAAGCCATTAAAGTCAAGCACAATTAGGAATAAGCAACAAATGTTGACATTGCCAACAGTCCTCTCATCCATGAAATAATTTTCAAATATATTATGAAATTACGTGTCCCGAATACTTCTCTGAGAGAAATGGCCAAACCCCAACATTGTCACCTCCTCATCTGACAGAATGTCAGTGAGGGTCTTGTTTGAGCTCTGTACTTCACATCTGGAGATGATTCTACTTTGGGAGAGTGGACTGTGATGTTTTCTTGTTGATCAGCAGATGTGGGGAGAGACTTCAAAGAGTTCAGTATTGTATAGAGCTGTCTTTGTTCCTTCGTGTTTGGCCATTTAGTTTTCTGGTAATGGATTGCAGACCATTTTTTTTTTCAATAAAGCTAAACAATGCAACACTGTCATTAATTTTTCACTGTGTAAACCATCCAATGCAGAGGCCAGGAGAGTCCGCTACCAGTATAGACTTAAGAATTGAACAAAGGTTAAAGCAATGACCTTCTGCTCACATTAACTTAACACATAGACAATAACAGGAAAGACCCAGACCAAAGGTTCAGTGTTGGAATCGAAACATAAGGAGTTCTTTCAAGGTTCCGACAATGTTGCAGGAAAGATTCACCATGGCATCTGAAGATTAGGTCTTGTGGAAGGACTAGAGAAAAAGACTTATAAAAAAGCACTTTTATTATGATATACACCAAGATAATCAACTTGTATTACATTCATACAGTTCATTACGTTCATACAGAAAAAGGCACCAAAGTGATTCACAGAGGAATAAGGAAAAAAAAGCATAGCCAAAGAAGCAAAAAATATCAAGATTTGTGATGAAAGATTTGAAGAGTTAGATTAGTAAAGATAGAAACAATGAATATATCTTTATTTGAAGATGCACATCTATATTTTAAACCGGCCAGGAAATGCATGTGTCATGTGACTAGGCTGCCTGGTGCAGAAGCCTGGGAGTTATAATTGCCTTACCAGCATTACCCCAATGACATCTTAGGAGCTTGCCTCCCTCACTCTTACACCACCATCCCATGCAACACTTGATCTGCGTCTTAGGTTAAATCAGGGCATTACACTTTCGTCGTGTTTTTGTGTATATGATTGTGCGCGCGCATGTGTGTTTGCGTGCACGTGTGTGTGTATACCTTTAACAGTTGGCTTTCAAACGTGTTTCCATTACTAAAGGCTAGAGTCCAGAAGAAAGGAGATTTCCCAGATTATCCAGATGGTAATTTGAACCGTCCGGAATGATGTCAACGATGAAAGTGAGATTCATGTGAATCATGATGGTTTGACTGATCACATGACTCTGATTTCAGTAAGAGAGAAGGCATCCAGTCTCAAATGAGCATGTGAAAGGTGTTAGACACTAGAAAAGGGAGATGTAATTGATAACTCACCAGGTACAGATGTAAGTAAAAATGTATTGAAGTAGCTCAGGAGTTGAAGAACCTTGCTAAGAGCTAAGGAGCAACCAGCTCCAGGGACAATGTATGTGCTGACCTCCACACCTTGAGATACTCTCCACTGATATCCTATTGTACAGGTCACAGTATTAGCTTAAAGCATAGTATAAGGCAATGAGGGTGTCCTTGAATTGCACCAGTTCCCCAACACTACTCTCCATCTCCTTATCACTCTTCATCGAGATTGAGATCGCTTCTTTTCCTGTTTTACTTTTTGCTGATTGTGTTTCATTACCATCTTAGTGAGGCATAAAGTTTTGTGTAGCTGCTGTGGGAGTCCAATGAGTCCTGCCAAGAGCTTAATGGTGCAAACTTGACTTGACAACAGCAAGCAGAAACCAGAAAATAATTCTTTGTGCTTTGGATAAAGCGAAGGCCTGCCCTCATTCCTACAACATTGCCACCAGCATATCCAACTGCCATGAGAAAGTGAAGTCAGATAGGTTCCCTGAGCAAATACAGAGACAATCGCCTGTGACAAAGAGAACACGGGGGGATTTTTGTGAAGGCCTTGTGTACAGCAGAGACACCCTATGCCATCAACAGCTCATCGTGGGCAGCTGCCAGGCACGAATGAGTTGCTCCACCAATACAACATCAACTTTGCATTAGGTTGCCTAATTATCAAAGGTCTATGAAGTGTTAACAGGATGTTTGTCTATCAAAAGGGCTCAGGTGAAAGAATAGGTCATCACTTTTCAAAAATAAACATAGAATTGTTTTTAATTTTCAGCTGTTGTTGTTTTGGATGGGGAAGAGTGGAATATTGATTAAACTCCTCCAACCCTACAAACTTCTGAAACCTTTCATCTCTGGTCTATCTCCAAATTTAATTCCCCATTCGTGGCATGCCTTTATCCTAGACTCTACAAGTCCTGTCCCAAACCTCTCCACCTCTCTCTCCTCAAATAAGAGACTCCTCAAAACCATGCTCTTTGAACAAACATTTGCTATCTTTGTACTAATTTAGCCCACAAACCACTGAAAATCCCATTCCTGCCATCTCAGCAACTCATGGTATCTAGTGCTACCCATTTCAATGTTGGCGGAAAATAAACATTAATCTGTAATTAATACTCATACAACTAAAGCAGGCGTAGAAACAGAAGTTGTTAGCAATCACTGACAAACCTGATGTTTACTTCCAGCACATGTTGCTTTTACTTTAGAAGTTTTGCACTTGCGGTTACTTTTTCTACAATATAAAAGGACCTTCCCTGTAAACTATGAACAGTGCCAATAATTCTCATCAAGACAACAGTATGAATAGGGTTGGCACAACTTGTGTCAACATCCTGCTCTGTACAGATATCCATGAATTGCGGATGGACTCAGCTAATGATAAAGATTGACTTAAACAGAACTCCCAACAACAAAGTCATGTATTGTTGCAACGATAGAAAAATGTGGAAGACTTGGTCATCCATGCCATTTGACATGGTAATTAGACATTGATGTTGTAAAAGGATACAGAGACACTGAAGTAGGTGCAAAGCAAACATTTTAAAAATGTTTCCAGAACTGGGAATTTATCACTGGCAGGTGAGTTTGAACACGTTTGAATTCTTTTCTACAGAAAATAGAAGTCTAAGGACATGACCCTCAGAGAGACCTTTAAGTTCCAAAAGGATTTTATGGGGTAAACAGAGAGAAGATGTTTCCAGTTGTGGGGGAAACCAAGGCTGGGAATTACAAATGTGAGAAAGCTCATCTGACAAATAAATTCAACAGGGAATTCATGAAAAACTTCTTTACTCTGAGAATGATTAGAATGTAGAACTTGCTAGCACAAAGAGCATTTATAAGGTGGATAGCATATATGCATGTCAGGGGAATCTAAATGAATACATGAAGCAGAAAGGAATATATTTCGAGGGTGAGATACAAAAGGGTGGGGGTTGAAGGAACATGAGGAACAAAAGCACCAGCACAGATCAGTTGGACCAAAAAGGCATGTTTCTGCAAGGTTAATTATATGCAATTCTTCTAAAAAGCCACGTCGAGGATATGCACGCCATACCTGGGGTGGGATGCAGGCACAAGTACCATTTCAGGTACATTTTTGGGTCTACAGTCACATGACTTCTACATTTTTCACGGATGCCATGGATATATTTCTTCGTGCTTTCTTTCACCTCATAGTTTACAGCCATGTATGAAAATTGCTCAGTGAATCAAAAATTCCTTTGAGGAGGAATGGTCCATGAAAATAGCCAAGATAAACACAAAATGGTTTTCAGCTGGAATCCTGGACAGAAGACAGAGGCAAACTCCAAATTGACATTCATATCATGGGGAGGATTTTAAACTTAATTTTAATATACTGGGACTGTTGATGTTAAGATGTCATTTAATCAAAAAGCACCTTAAGTTTCCATACAATTAACAAGGCAGACATTCATGGAGAGAAATGAGGAAGTGTTTTACTTTGTGCA